CGAAAACTTACCACAGATGTTCACAGCAGTGTTATCTGTATTAATCCAAAGACGAAAGCACTCCAAATATTATCCACCAACTGATAAAAATGCAGGTATGGGTAAAAACAACACACATACACACACATATATATAAACATACACATACATACACCATCATACACACATATACACACACATACACAAATACACAATATATACACACATACACATGCATACACACACATACACATATATACACATACACACACATACACTAACATCCACACACATGTACACACAAATTCACACATGCACACATATATAAACATACACATACATACACCATCATACATACACATATACACACACATACACACATACACAATATATACAGACATACACATGCATACACACACATACATACACATATATACACATACACACACCCTAACATACACACACATGCACACATATATACATATATACACATACACCAACATACACACACTATACGCACACATACACATGCAGAGAGAGAGAGAAATAGAGAGAGAGAGAGAGAGAGAGAAACAGAGACAGAAGCTGAGACAGACAAAGAGAGAGACCAGACAGAGGGGGACAAAGAGACAGAGGCAATTTAATAGAATAGACTAAAACCCCAGAACTCAGAAGACTGAAGCAGAAAGATTGTAGCTGTAAGAACTTGGGTTACTAAGGACAGCCTGGGTGGGTTACTAAGGACAGCCTGGGTAGGTTACATATAAGACTCTGCACCCCACAAAAGAAAAGGAAAAAAAAAAACAAGAAAAAATGTTTAAGTAAAGTCATCTGCTAAATTTATATCTCATTAAATTAATATGAGAGGATTATTCTTTAAAACTAGAAAAAAATTATTAAAAAAATTTTGACTGTCATTATGATATACCTATAAAGTTTGCCAGGTATGGTGGCACATGTCAGTAATCTCAAATCTGGAAGTGGAGACAGAGGATCAGATCAGGAGTTCAAGGCCAGCCTCGGCTACATAGGGCCTTGCCAAAAAAAAAGAAAATCTATAAAATTATAAGGAAACTGAAGGCACTTAAAATTGCACAAACAAAACTTTTAGTTGCTGAAAAAGTAGGATGAACATTGTGATGCTTTTTTGTGATTGATTTTATTTGTTTGTTTTGTTTGCTTTGTCAACTTGACACAAGCTACGGTCATCTCGGAAGAAGGAGCCTCAATTGAGGAAATGCTTCCATAAAATTGGCCTGTAAGAAACTCTGTGGAGCATTATCGTGATTAATAATTGATGTGGGAGGACTCCGTCCACTGTGGGCGGTGCTGCCCCTAGGCAGGCAGGCGCTCCTGGAGAGTATAAAAAAGCAGACTAGCAAGTCCTGAGGGCAAGCCAGTAAGGAGGGTTCCTCTCTGGTCTCTATTCAGTTCCTTCTTGTGCTCCTGCTTGAGTTTCTGCTCTCAGAGATGGACCATGATCAGGATAGGTCCAGCTTTCCACAGGTTCCGGGAATTCAAATTCATATCCCCACATACATGTGGCAAGTACTTTACCCTCTTAGCCCTCTCCTCAGCCCATGCTTTCACATGTATGACCAGCAATTTTTAGTGTATCATAAGCATTTCTTATTACCTCTTTTATCGGTGTGTATTTGTTGTGACCATTCATACAGCCATCTTTATACAAGTGTACAACGTGCACTGATCGTCTTTACCACATTACTCCACTCTTCCTGATCTATCACCTCCACTGCCCGTCAGTGCATTGCTTCTATAAGCAGTTTTACTTATTCTATGTGTTTTAGGATTGTATTTATCTGTATACAATCTAAGATCCAAAAATGAGAGAAAACAATATTACTCTTTCTTAGTTTGACTTAATTCGCTTAAAGTGATACTCTCCAGCTGCAACCATTTGTCTGCAAAAAAAATGTAATTTCTTTCCTTCTCATAGCTAAATAAAATCGGATTGCATGCCTATGGCACATTTTCTGTATACGTTCCTCTGCTGTTTTTTGTTCACTATATGTATTATAGTAGATATATAGTGTATTTCCTTACTGCAGTATTTCTCAACCAGTGGGTCACAACCTTTTTGGGGGTCAATGATGCCTTTCTGGGGGTCACCTAAGACCATTGGAAACCACAGATATTTACATTATGATTCATAACAGTAACAAATTGCAGTTATGAAGTAGCAACGATAATAATTTTATGGTTGGAGGTCACCAGAACATAAGGAACTGTGTTAAGGGTTGCAGCATTAGGAAGGCTGAGAACCACTGCAGTAACGAATGGTTAGCGATGTGTGTCAGCTTTTCATGCACTTATGGACCACTTGTATATCTTCTTTGTCCGTTTGAATCCTTTGCTCATTTTTAAACTAAGCTTTTGTCTCTGTATCATTGAACTATACAAACCCTCTACGCTCTAGATACAAGTTCTTTATGGGGTTTCTTCTGTTTCCAGATGGTATCCTTTGAAACACAGGCTTTTAGTTTTTTAGTGTGGTCCAACTTACCATTCTTTCCTCTTTGCTGGTGTTTTTGGTGTCATATCTAAGAAACTGCCACATCTAATATCAAGATGTAGCCCCAATGTGTTTTCTTCTGGGTGTTGTATTTTTTTTCTCTTATGCTTAGGTCTTTGGTCCCTGGAGTCAATCTCTGTAGCTGCGACCAGAAATCTGGCTTCATTTTTTTTTTTTTATGTTACCACCCAGTTGTTCTGGAATCGTTTACAAATAATAATAATGTCTCTCTCCATTGAATGTCTCTGTCCATAGGATCCTTATCAAAAGTGAATCAATTCTAATGTGAAGCTTGGTTTCTAGAGTCTCTGTTCCTTCCATAGATCGATTTCCTGTTTTTATATCAGTACCACTGTCTTGATTACTGTCGCTCTGGAGTAAGACTTGATATCAGAAAGTCTGAGTCTCCCAACTTTATTTTTTCATGATTGTTTTATGTATGTGTGTATGTGTGTATGTGTGTGTGTGTGTGTATGTGTGTTCTAACCTATTTCATTTTACACTAACCTATTTCATTTTATACGTGCCCTTTTTACAGTTGACTCTGCAAGCAAAGTCCTTCGTTTTGGTTCTCCATAAGTGCCATCTTCCTCCTTATGGAGATGTTTTGGCTGCTTCCTTCTGGGACTGCTGTAATCAGCAAGGTGCCCCTTTCTGGAACTGTCTGAGTCAGCTCTGGTGAACAAAAGGCTCTCTGTAATGGTTGTGGATTTTTCCTTCTTCCTCAAATCTGTTCTTGGGCCAGGTCTCTCTTCATAGTATTGTTGTTGTAAACTCTTGAGACCTTTAAGATAATTACTCTATGATTATTCCAGTTCAATTGTTCAAATTTGAACTGAGCACATTCTCTAGTAACTCAGTGCATTCCTTAGTAACAGACGCTTTGGAGTATTTACCATGTGTGTATACAAAGTGTGTATACTGAGACAAGCATAATGATATAGGTCTATACATACAGCTTTAGACTGTGTTGTGGGGGCTGTGGAGCCCATACACACATAGATACATATTTTTACTTGTAAGCTTCTATATGTAACTTTTTCCTCAAATTGATTAAATGTAAATCAGTTTCAGTCCCCCACAGAGTAAAATTTTAATACAAAAACAGAAGAGCCTGTCTGTCCTCTGGCATTAGGGTAACTACGTCAATTTTTTGTGTGTCTTGAAGGACACAAGTCCCTCAGTACTGTCACAGTGGCTTTTAAGAAACTCTGAGACTGGCAATATTTAGTTAAAATTCTATCAAGTCTTTACATGTGGCAAGGAAGCCATCCTGGCATGAGAAACATCCAAAGGTATAATTTATCCAATATATATCTTAAGAAATTCTTTAAAAAAAAAATCAAGAAGGGCTTTCCCATAAGTTAACAGTAAACAAGAAAAAATGATAAAATAGGCAGCATACTGTTTATGTGGGCAGCAAACCTGGTTTTAAATCACTTCTCAACATCACGTGGGGTGTGAGAAGGCAAGTCTGGGAAGGTCCCTTGTCAGAGCTGAATGTTGAATGTTCCCCCCAAAGGCCCGCACATCCTGGCCCCTCCCTCCTCTTTTGCTTCCTGGTCATGAGGTCTGCAGTGTAGCCTCTGCCAGGCTTTCCTTCCCTACCACTGACTGTCATCAGGAAAGCTGACTAAAGAAACTTGTTGCTAGCAGACAGAAATAGATTTACCGACCAATACGAGCAGGTTCCAAGGGGTTCTTCACAACAGGTTCATCAATAAGCCCCAACTACAGAGAACTCATGGGCTTGAACTATGAACAAGGAAAGGCAACTAAGACAGGTCCTGGCTGAAGATTCTGAGTGAGCAAAGCTGAGGCTATCTCCTCACCTGAGCCCTGGAAGAGTGCAAGGCCCCCGACAGTAATATCTGAAAAGCAATATTATAATACTTGGATGACACAGATACTAGAAACACTCTGCTGTGTATGTCGCAGTTAGGAATAACTGAACTTGAATTCCTCATCACCCCGAGGAGCAAAACCTAAAACATGGAAACAACCATAGTTAACACGAACCTCAGGGAAAAATAATAATTATTTTTTGTAGGTTAACTATGAACTGTAGCTACAGTCATGTAAACACCCAGTTCCTATAAAACCCAAATTAAAGCTCAGTTCTAGACTCAGGTGGGGAGTTATGGTGAGTCTGGTGTCAAGGCGGGACGGGGATTGGGGGCGGAGGAGTGGGACTGAATCCTCTTCTCATGGAAAGAAGGTGGAGCTTACCTGGGGTGGAATAATCAGGCAGCAGCAACATCACATGTTCAAAGACACATAAAGATGAACCAAAATCAGCAGTGAGTGGTGACCCGGCTTCCTCAGCGAGGGCATGTGAGAGTGGAAGCAGAGAACCAGTATTTTTCACAACAAAACTCACAGAACTGGTCGATGCCCTAAGCTACTTTTACTGATGAAACTTAAGGAAAAGGAAAAAGAGGAGAGGCAGCGAGTGCGAGAACAGAGCTGGGACATAAATTACCCAACCTTCGCAATAGTCCAAGAACAACGGAAGTCTGCCAGAACGATGGAAATCGGGAGGGTGGAGCAGCGAAGTGAAGACTGTCTTGGGAAACGTGGAGGAAGCTCAGCGTCTGCATTGGGAGAAGAGATCCCGAGAGGCCTCAAATCTCAAACCAGTCCGCAGGGTAAATAGAATCGTCTCGGGAAAATAAATGAGATCATATCACTCACCTCATACAATGAGTATATGTCTATAAACCAGTGGTTCTCAACCTGTGGGTCGCAACCCCTTTGGGTCAAACGACCCTTTTACAGACTCACCCAAGACCATCAGAAAACATAGATATTTCCATTATAGTTCCTAACAGTAGCAAATTTACAGCTTTGAAGTAGCAACAAAGATTATTTTATGGTTGGGGGTCACCACAACGTGAGGACTTTTGTTAAAGGGGGTCAGAGCATTAGGAAGGTGCGAACCACCACTATAGACTCTGGTTTTCAAATGACGGGGCTTGATTGTCATGCTCACGATCTACTAAAGTCCATGTTGCTATTTGAACTCTACCGGATGAAGATCCTTTGGTCCCACCTATCGGAGGATAATAGCAGATACTCCGTAAATAGTCTAGGGCAAATGGATGCCTTTGTAGAAAATGCAGACTCTACTGTTGGTAACTAAAGAGTAAAGAGAAGTATCGATCTAGTATTTCTAAAGTGATGTCACAGAGCCTGTCGATATGGCTTCACAGAGAAGCGTCACGGCTCAGCCCTTGTAGGGTCTTCCGTGTCTCATTAAATCGTTGTGTATTTCAAGTATTCATTCCTTACATTAACTCTATAGTCAGGTACTATTATTACCTGTCAGCTGTATATTTTATACACAAGGAAGTCAGCCTACAGACCAGTTGAGTAATCTGCCCGTGGTTGCCAGAAAAACACAGTTGGACATGGATTCTTGGGACAGGTTTTTAAGTACAATAAAGTTGATTTTTCATTGTTTTAAGTAAAACCAGACTTGGGTTGGATCAGTTCGTCCTTCAGGTCATTTGGTTAAAGCGACTATTTTATGATATTATTTCTAACTCAGTGACACGCATATAAGGGAAGGATTAAAAGCCATTGCCCAGAGCTCTAATGTAAAATCTCTTCACTCCACCATGCATACTGGAGCCTGACTCTACTTGGAGCACAGTGCTGGCTGGGGCTACACTCCCATTTTGAGTTCAGTTACATTTTAATTGATAAAGAAAAGTGAATCAGTAAAGGAGGTGTGGCTTTCACCCATGGCCTTCTCACTGGTGACAGGTCACCCAGGAGGAGAAACATTGTTTTGAGTTCACTTTGTTCCTTCACGGTTGAGTTTTGAATACCTCTGTTCCCTTTTCAACGGACTTGTGTGAGTCTGACTGGATGCTAACACCAAAGTGTAGCATTGAACATGAAGAATAAATAAGGTGCCCTCTAATTTCAGGAACGCACAACCTCTGGGATTATATCCTTTGCTGTTGGACCTATTAGTTAGCCTAAAAACTGGGTATCAAGGGCTTTAGAAAGCAAAAGGTTTCTTGGCACCTTTGCTCAATTCCTTTCTTCCTTAAACATGTGAGCCTCTTTAGAGGAAGGAAGGGTTAAATTTCTGAAACTGATTTGCTAAAACTGATGAATGTGAATTATTCAGTTTGCAAAGAAAGGAAAGTATATGAATGTAAGTATCACATCAGAACACCAGGGCCCTAGTGCCTGCCATTATAGATTGGAGAAAGCCAGTGCACTGAGTGAGTGCAAGCCTCTATTGACCCTCCATGTGAAGGCATGATGCTAAGGGCAGAGAAGATGGGCAGGGTTAGTCAGTATCAGTCAAAGAAAATCTGCTGCTCTGGGCACTGACTGAATTACTAACCCAGCAAACTGCTGGCAAATTTTATGTTGGTCCTCAAAATAGGCCTGGTGAGGCCTGAGAGATTACGGACACTGTGACTACTCAAATGCTGGGTGGTACCTTGCAGGCACTTGATAAGTATTTGTTGACTAAGATACACCTGATTGCCATGCAAAGACTGCATTTATCCCTCCCAAAAGGATGGGTATTGGGAAGAGTGCTAAAATTAGAGTTAAGAGCCTGTTGTTATTTTTTTTTTAAGTCTCTCTAAGGATCCATTTCCAAGACTATAAAACAGGAAGACCCAGGTCTATCTCAGAGAGAAGTTGTGGGGGATTAAAAGAAATACCAAGCAAAACAGCCACCCCACAGCATCTGCTTAGTAAACACTTCCTCAGTGTCAGGAGAGGGACCCCCTTAGTCTTCCCATCAATCATTGATATGTGTGCCTTGTTCTCTCAATTACTGAGTAGTTCTCTCTTTAAAGCATCTATTTTTTGACAAAGTATAGAAGCAAGTCAAAAATGAAGAGAACATTAAAAATCACAACAATCATAGAAAGGGTTAAAAATCTTCTTTGGGATATCAGGGCCACCATACAGGGTAGCTCAGGCGCAGGTAGCAAATCCAACAGAAACTTCCAGGGAAGAACCATGCAGGGCTTTCACTGAGGGCCCAGTGGATTATCCTGTCGCCCCATTCTCTTACAAAGAATAGCCTTGACAGCTACATCCCAACATCCTCATCCTCATCCTCATCCTCTTCTTCTTCCTCCTCCTCTTCCTCCTCCTCTTCCTCCTCCTCCTCCTCCTCATCATCATCATCATCATCTCTTTCCCTCTTCCCCCTCCCCCTCCTCCTTAATAGAGAGCTATGAAAAGATATGATCAAGACTGAGCCTCAAGTGAAATGGAAACAGCAGAAGAGAAAAGAGGCCGAAAGGCGAACTGAAATGCTCACTCTTAACTGGTGTTCAGCTGCCAGGAGTCTGTCTGCTCCAGATGGGAAGATGGAACTAGCAGGTCATTTGAAGGCAGCCCCTCCATCCTGCCAGGGTGACTGACAAGTGAACAAGGGACCTAAGGCTATGTCTGAAACCACTCCCAAGAGCTCGCATCTGTTCAGGGGGCTGCAAAGAGGTTGCACAGTCAAACTTGTAGATGTCCTGGGACTCCTCTATCATCATGCAGAAGGAGCCTAAGGACCTCATAATTGATAGTTTACAGAGGATAAAAATTATTTTGGAAAAAGATGATAGTTTAAAAAAATGGTGTTGGAGAGATGGCTCAGCTAGTAAAAGTATTTAGTGCCCTTGCAGAAGACACAGGTCTGGTTCCCAGCAACCACACGGCTGCTCACACACATCTGTATCTACATTTCCAGTGTCTCTGCTGATACCCTCTCTGGCTTCCATGGGCTCCTAAGCACAGGGGTACACATTAACTCTCTCTCTCTCTCTCACACACACACATACACACACACACACGCACACATACACAAATAAAAATTAACTGAGTGAGGCTTTAAAAACTAACTGACAATTGATCTTATATTTCTAGTGATATTTCTACGCACTTTTCACCCTTAAAACATTCAAAAGTAAATCGTTTGAGTTTAGGTGCGATTCTCTTTGTCAATATCCTACTAGCAGTAACCTAGTGAAGGAAGCAAACCTTTAAAACAAAATGTTCAAAACCTCTGAGATCTCAAAAGTGAACTAGAATAATCATAAAAGGAAAATTTCCAAGGCTCCTCTGCTTGGTCCAATGTTTGTATGTCATTTTTTATGTATTTCTGTGGGGGGGGTATATAAATGTGTGTCTTCATGAGGTGTAGATACACATGGGGACACATGCATGTGGGGGGTATATAAATGTGTGTTTTCATGAGGTGTAGATACACATGGGGACACATGCGTGTAGAGGCCCAGTGCAACCAATGGGTGCCTTTCTCCACTGGATTCACTGAGGCATGAATGGAGCTCACCAATGTGACATCATGAAATCATCTATTACAGCACAGCCCAGCAGGGCTTCTGCCCACGACATCACCTACTACAGCAGCTGCCTTCCTCAATGGTCAGAAGCAGCTGTGTTCCTCAATGGTCAGATGGGTGTATGAAGTCGGGGAGAGAGGGCTCTGCAAAGAGAACTTGTGTTTTAGAGTTCCTGGCTTGATGACTGGTTTATTTCCCGTCTTGGAAATTATTATTATATTTTAAATCCAGGCATGGTTGTCCACATCCGTAATGCTGGCACTCAGGTAAGACCAGAGGATTGCTGAGTTCCTGTGCAGCCCATGAGGCTGCAGAGTAAGATCTTGTATCTTAAAATGGCAGAGAAGAGTCTGGGGAGATGGCCCAGCAGGTAAGAGCACTTTCTGTACACCTGCAAGGGCCCAAATTTAAGTCCCCAGAACCCACATACAAATATGGTTATGGTCACTCAAGGAGCTATTACTCCAGTGCTGAGGAAAGGGGCTGAGACAGGAGGATGCCTAGAGCTTACTGGTCACCAGCCTAACTTTAGGTTCACTCAGTAAGAAACCTTGTCTCAAGTGAATAAAGAAGAGAGCAATTGCAGGACACGAGCTATCCTCCAGCCTTTGTGTGCTCGTGAACTCTCTCATATACACAGACTACACAGACTTACATACACACAAACAAAATAAATAATTGGTTTTAAAACGTTGGGTGTGGGACTAGCTATATGACTCCGTGGAACTTGTCAGCAAGACTGAGCACTTCAGCTCAGGTCTTGGAACACACTTGGTAGGCGAAACCTGAGTCCTACGTGCTGTCTTCTCACCTCCAAACATGCACTGTGTCACATAGGCACCCAAACACACACATACACGCACACACACTCGTACACTCACACACATACGCGCGTGCGCACACACACACACACACACACACACACACTAGTTAAATGGTAAAAAAAAAAAAAAAATGTACTGATTCACTCCTGTCAAGCCAGGAGGATTAGAAATTCAAGGTTGGCTTGGGCTATATTCCAAGTTTGAGGCCAGTCTGGGTTACATGAGACTGTCTCAAAATCAAATCAGATTAGGAATTTCTCTGATAATGAAAACTTGTGAACATCTTGTCACCCCTTTTGGTTCCCATGTGAAAGCCTTCTTTTCTGGGATTCTCTCATAATGAAGCTAGCAGGGAAACAGGAGGACCAGGCATTTTCCAGGCCCTGAAAGATTCAGACAGGACAAGCAAATTGTGGTTTGTAGTTAAAATGTGAGCCTTTTTCCACTCTGATAGACTTCCCTAAAATGACAGTGCCGAAATGAACGTATGTCTAGCTCAGTGCCCACCTTTTGGAAGATGTGTCGAGAACACCAAGGCCTGAATGCTTCATGTATCACCGTCCTCCCTGGTGACTCCAGCTGCTGAGCTTGGGTCTCGCTTGGTGCTTTTCTTGCTAAATCATGTTGCCGTTTCTTTGCAACTGATGTTCTGTTTTTCCTCAACATCTTCACTGCTGGTACCTGATAAGACATTGTATCACTCACCTCTCCACTGCTATGATGAAATACTTGACAGATTCAAGTTAATACTGGATAGAGTCTGTTTTGACTTACATTTTCAGAGGTTTCTGTTTATGGATACTACCCTGGTGTTTTGGGCCTTTAGCAACTGGTATGTCATGGCATCAGAAATGTATGCGAGGGGAGGCCTTTTCACCTGAAAGTGACGGGAAGCAAAAGCATCAGGTTCCCAATATCCTCTACAAAGGCAATACCACAGTATCCCACAACGACCTAACTTCCTTCTGCTGGGCCCACCACTTAAAGGGTCCACCCTCTCTCAACAGTACTACAAACAGGCTGGGGACCAAGCCTTTAACATCTAAGACTGTGAAGATCCAAATGATAGCATATGTCACTTACTATTAACTACAAGAAGTGAAATTATTATAATCTCACCATAAAGGTACCATAAAGAACCATTTTTTTTTAATAGAGAAAATCCCTCCACGTTCTGTCTTTCTCTTTGCAATGTTGGGTTTGTGGCAACACTTTCTAAGGACTCTGTCTTATTACAGCATCACGGGGATCCTGGCACATGTCACTTTCTAAACATGACACAATACAAGATCAACACAGTATTTAAAATAAATAACAAACAGAGTTGTTAACACAGACCAGGACTAATAAGCAAAGCACACCAGAAACCTCAAAGCCTTTAGAAGCCCCCATCTTCCAGCCAAATGACACATGGAGGTTGGCATCTTGCCAGAGTACGTGTTATCTGCTTGGATGGGGCAGAGAGACTAGAGACTTCCATTTTAATGTATCATGGAACTATTCAAAGAATACAAATTAAAAGCCATTGAAGGCAACTAGGTTTTAAGTACAGTATTCTAATATCTGGCTAATTAGCAATCATACTGTGGTGTCAGTCGGGTACCTGTCTGTTCATCGGAAGAGCTTGGTTTTGTAGAGGGCTTTGCTTATGCACTTTTTTATAACAGCGACTTTACAGGTTACTGTCTCCTCTCCTGCAGCGAGCTCCCCCAAATGTAGACTGTGATACAGGATTCTTGTCAGCTTGGAAAGTGACAGAAAGCGACAGCAGAGTCGCTGGGGGCAGAGAGAGCGAGCCAAGAAAAGCTGACTGTCCTAGATGGCCACCACCATGCATGGGGGGCTGGAGCTTAGTCCTGCTTGGATTTTAAAAAAAATGTGTGTGTGTGTGTGTGTGTGTGTGTGTGTGACAGAGAGAGATAGAGACAGAGAGACACAGAGAGACAGAGACAGACAGAGACAGACAGAGAGACAGAGATAGAGACAGACAGACAGAGACAGACAGACAGAGAGAAACAGAGAGAGCTGGATGGTGTGCGTGTGGAGAGAGAGCAAGAGAGAGAGAGAAAGCGGGGGGGGGGGGAGAGCTGGAAGGCACTCTAGAACACACCCCTGAATTATCTCACCAGCGGGATAAGAGAGCACACACTGGTCAATATTTAACAGATAGCTCTGAGAGAGGGTGGGGAGCTCTGATTCACAGCGTCTGCCAATCTCTGCTGTATGTATACTGTGGAATTAGGAAGAAGCATGCACTCTGAGATCTCAGAACTTGGTACCAGCCTCCTCCAGGAACCACCACAGTTCCTCTCGCTAGCTGAGGACCATGCAGTGTCTGAGGCCACTTCTGGCCTGCCATGCAGTCCGAAGTGCAGGCCTCAGAGGCCAGAGAGACACAGGCACCATCATGGAACCAGCTTTGTGTACACCAGAGTGATGGTATGGGTGAGAGGAAGCAGGCGAGCCTCCATGGTGACTGCTACCTACCCACAGTAGTGAAGCATATGTATCCCATTGATATGAAGGTCCACTGCTAGTCATGGGAGAGCTGATGCAGGCACAAGCCTAACAAGTACCACAGTGCACTTGTCACTGTGCCATGCTCCTTCTGCCAGAAGAAGTGTAAGTCTCATAACATGTGAGTGGACAAAGAAAATTATATTGCCTTACTTCAGGAAGATTTCTATATGAAATAGATCCATATATTCAAGTAATGGCTCAGGACAACAGTTTTATTCCTGGGAATAAAGTTGTCAAGGGGGCCGTCCTCCATCCATCCATTCAGGGATCTCTTCGTTCTGTGATTCTGTAGCCTCTAGACTATTGCACTTATCGATATCCAGATGTGCAGTTTCTCTAAACCACAGCTCACATACTTAACAGGAAGGCATTCTGGGATACACAGTCCCCAGCAAGGCCATTAGTTGGGTCCTAGTTACAAGTGCCTAGTAGGGGACGGAGAAGGAAATTTTATGAGCATCTGTCTCTACCATACTTTTTCATAGACCATTTATGTTAAGATATTATTTTCTATTTCTTTGTTAATAAATTTTTAAAATCCATAGTATTTTCAAAGTTCTATCTCTGAAGTTTATGTCCAGTCAAAACTTTGTTTTTCCAAACAAGAGGTTTGATTCAACTTTGAATTTAGGTTAAAAATCAAAAAAAACATAAAGTGTAGTATCCCCACTCAACAGTTGGGGTTTTTTGCTTTTATAAAGAGCCTCTTGCTATAACTTTTACTTGAGCAGTCTAAGGAGCCACTCAGGAGTTATATCCACACTGAGAAAAGGCCTTGGAAAGGGCTCATGAATGTGCTTATGTCTACCAAGAAAACGAAGGCAACTAACTTCAGAAAGACATCAAAGCAGCTTTGAGGTGAAAAGCAATGTGTTGTGGAAATGGGTATCTAAGTTCAAATCTTACATCTTCTAGTTACCAGCTGAATATCCTTGGCTCAGTTATCTACCCTCTCTGTTTCATCTCCACTTATAAAATGGAGGTGATTACAGTGCCTACGTCATAGGGTTATTATGTAGATTAAATATTAATAATATGATGCACTTAGCACTGCTCTGGCACACAGTAAGTACTCAATAAACATTTATAATTATATTTAATAATATTTAGCACCTGCTCTCTAGAAACTTCTAGAATCTTCGTCCTCTATCCTTTGAAATGTGTTTGTTTTATAGAGACATTTTTCTTTTCTAGGTTTCTATTCTAAATGTCCACTGCCTTTTGTCTTTATGAACTATAGTACCACCTAAACCCCAAACCCCTCTTGAAGATTCTACTTCCTGTGGTGGTCCCCATTGTCCTTGGGCAGGGACGTCCAGCTCTGGGCCACAGAAGCCTCTCTCCCATCTTTGTACAGAATGGATTTTGTGGATATTGGTGGCATCCACCTCCTGCCTCCCTGCGCCAACAGTCTCAGGGGCTCCAGAAGTGCAGCTTTCTGGTCCGAGTTCTTTACCCTTTATTTTCCTTAACCTTTCCCAGCTTTCTACTCCTCTTCTGTGGATTCCTCCTCAACACCAATTATCCTCAAAAGAGGCAATTAGAAGGGCTGAAAAGATTGCTCTGGTCAGTAAAATGCCTGCCACACCAGTAAGAGGACCTCAGTTTGATCCCTAGGGCTCAAGTACAAGCCAGGTATGAGTGTAACTCATGGGGTGGGAGGGTGGGGCAGGGGTGGATGCTGGGCATCCCTGGAGCCAGTCAGCCAGGCCAGATCAATAACCTCCAGGTTCAGTGACCCTGTCTCAATAAATAAGATGGCAAGCAACAGAGGAAGACAACCAGCATCCACTTCTGGCCTCCACACACACTTCTGTCCATGTACCCACATACACACATGCACACCTACATGTATACATCTCACACACAGAGGAGACAATTAGATTGTGCATAAATAAATGCTGGGTTTTTTTCTAACCTGAATTCATAAGTTTGCAAATGAAGCAATATCACCGGGAAATTTCAGTTTTTTGGGGGAGAGATGTCAAAGAGGGATGCGGTTGAAAGGCAGATACTAAAACTTTTAGATGGTGTTTTATAACCCCCCCAAACCAACTCCTGTTTACTGACTATCTGCTAGGTAGCATCTCTGGGGAGGTAAGTGAGGGTGGTGAAGAGGAACCACCTCCCCAGCCAGCACTTGGAAATGTGGACCTGTGAACAAGTAGTCCTAACACAAGATGTTGTAAGTTGCCCCAGGCAACAAGCACTATCTCACTTTCTCTACTCCACGGGCCTAGAGCAGAGCCTGGCCTTTAGCTGGTGCCCAGCAGTGCCTCCCACAGACCTGGGCAGAGGGAACCTCTATGCTTGGCCTTCTGCTTCAGAGTGTGCTGTATGTCACAGATTTGGAAAAGCAAGTTTATGAAAGGTCACCCGGTCACTGGTGTTGACACACAATAGTGCCTCAGCATCACTCACCACCCCAAGCCTATGCCCCACAAACTCCCAGAGAAGTGCTACTTCATATGCTTGCCTATGAATGGAAAGGACCAAGGGTCACAGAGGTGCTGCTGCCAGTGTTAGAGAATGTCAGCTTGTAATCAGCTGTTATAATCAGTGGGTTTCAGTGACTGAAGTGTTTAGTATGAAAATGAATGAATAGTTATTACCTTGCCAAATTCGTCTCTTAAAATAACAGAAGCTGGTGGATTCTGGAACAATGGCACAGGACAATCCAGTCACTGATGGTCCAAACTCTTCTCTTTGTGGTCCATTAATGTGAGTTCCCCAAACTATTCACATCTGTATACAGATGCTAAGGAATGAGATGGCTCAGCATTTGGGAATACTTGATACTCTTGTAAAAAACCTGGGTTTGAGTCTCAGTACCCATAAGGCCGCTCACAACCATCTTTAACTCCATTTTTAGATCTACTGCCCTCTTCTGGCTTCCACAAGCACTGCACACACATGGTGCATATACACACAGGCCAAAAAAAAAAAAACCAAACACATAAAATACAAATAAATCTTTTTTAAAAAGTGCCAAGGATCATTTTATAATTTTGAGATATACGTATATTTAAATGTATATGTCTGTAGATTAAAGCACCACATAAGAAGTGTGTTGCTATTCTACACATTGATAACTATGTGGCTGTGAATTGCTGGAATTACAGTTGTTATTTTAATAAAATATTTAATAGTACAGTTGTATTTTAATAAAGTATTTAAAAGCATTCAACTTTCAAGAAGTTTTAGTACCAGTTCATTTAAATAATTAGTATTCAAATTTTTACTAGTGACAAACTTTGTATTTTAAACTTATTTTTGCCTTTTAAAATCTTAAGTGTGGGCTGGAGAGATGGCTCAGTGGTTAAGAGCACTGACTGCTCTTCCAAAGGTTCTGAGTTCAATTCCCAGCAACCACATGGTGGCTCACAACCATCTGTAATGGGATCTGATGCCCTCTTCTGGTGTGTCTGAAGACAGCAACAATGTACTATTGCTACATAAAAGAATAAATAATCTTTAAAAGAATCAAATAAAATAAAATCTTAAGTGTGAGTAATAGAAAACTAAAACTGTCTATGTTGCTTGAATGTGTTTTACATTATATTTTACTAAATAGTATTCTTCCAGTGGATACCAATATTGCATACCTTATTCACATTTTTTACTTCAAGTTGTGCAAGGAAAAAAAAAAAGGCAACCACAAGGCATGATGACGCATGCCTGTGATTCCAGCACCTAGAAAGGGAAAGATAGGAGGATAAGAAATTTGAACCCACCCTGGGCTATCAAGCAAGACCCCGCCTCACAAAACCAACAAACGAATCACCTTACATCAATAACCAATGTTGCTCATTCAAATGATTTCAAGACTCAGGGCAGGTTAGAAAGGATAAAACTTTGCTAAGAGGAATGATTAAATTTCCAGCCTAACATTGAGGCCTGTGCCTTTAGTCCCAGTACTCCAGAGGCAGAGGCAGGTGGATCTCTGTGAGTTTTAGGCAAGTCTGATCTGCATAGTGAGTTTCAGGATAGCCTGAACTACCCAACGAGACCCTGGATCTTGGAAAAAAATAATAAATTTCCACTTTATCCTTACATTTAAAACCTCTTCATTTGACTATCATAAAACGTAGTTTCTGGTTTTATTACAGTACAGGTAAATTCATGAAAACGTCTTGAGATACTCCTTACTCCAAGGTAATTATACGCATAGATGTATCTTAGCCACTTTACTCTCATGTAAATAACAGGGCTTTGCTTTGTTCAGTTTGCAGGTTTGGGTTGGGATTTGGTGACAAGGCCTTGTCTCTTTGTGTGTAGGGACTCTGCTTATACTTCCATGTCTCCTCACAGCTCACCCTGCCTGTATGTGGCATTGTCACTAAAGCTAGCAAACATAGATACTTTCAAAGTAAATTTGTCTAATTGTCAAAAGAGGAATACCCTCTTCCTCATCTTTTATAGTGACCATAACCATGACTGATCTGACAGAGAATGCTTTCCATGTCTTGACCTCATTCCTTCTTTGAAGCACTTAGTTCAGTTCTCATTGGAACAATTTCCAATTTTCACTCCTCCTCATATTGTATTGATCTAATCACCAACTGAATGACATCTTATTAAATTTCACAAGAGCAGTTGTAATAGGTGCAGCAGGGCTTGACAACATCATTGGGTTCTCTCGGGCCCTGTAACTCCCCCAGTGTGAACAGTATACAAGGACACATTAGCACAGGCATAGTGTTTACTGTGCTGTGGCTTCCCTCAGCACGTTCCATGGTACCCCACCACACCAGTGTCAGCTAGTGCAACTGAATGAGCTGGTCACGTGGACACTACTTAGGAAATTTGCTACTTTAATGTCATCTACAGTGCCCACAGATGGCTTTAAACATCTGGAATTACCTGGGTGATACAGAGTCTGGAAAAAATAAAAAAGCATGAAGAAAGCAAGACCTGGCTTCACTTTTCTAGCCAGCATCCGAAATGAGGATTTATAAGCATGCCAAAAATGGCAGCTTTTGTCTTATTCTCCGGAGTGCATTCTTTTTTTTTTAATTCTTATTTTTACTCATGTGTGTGCACATGTATCTCCTATGTGTGCAGGTGCCCAAAAGAAACAGAGAGGGTGTCAGATCTCCTGGAGCTGGAGTCTCAAGTGATTGTGAGCTGGGTGCTAGGAACTGTGCAGGTGTTCTGGAAAGAGCAGCAAGACCTCTTACTTAACCCAAGCTATCTCTCCAGCCACTCATTCTGACTCGTAACTGTCTTCCTCACACATAGATCTTGTGTGAGTATGCTTACATACCCATGGGTCTGAAAATATGTCAGCCAGCCTGACAAATACCCACTGATAAAAAATATTTCTAAGTGGGCTGGAGAGATGGCTCAGTGGTTAAGAGTACTGACTGCTCTTCCAAAGGTCCTGAGTTCAGTTCCCAGCAACCACATGGTGGCTCACAACCATCTGTAATGGAATCTGCTGCCTTCTTCTGGTGTGTCTGAAGACAGTGACAGTGTACTTTACATGAAACAAATAAATCTTATTTTAAAAAAAATATTTGTAGGTGAAAACATTCTATTCTGTTAAAACAGCCAATGAGATTAAGACAACTATTAAGAAAATTGATTGTATATTAATATTAATAATTAATAACAATTATTATAACAACAATCTGAGAGGAATAAAATACCTTGTGTGTGCAAAGGAGGTGCCCAGTAAATACAAACGGAATGACATACAAGCTGAAATACCCTGCCAGCACATCACATGTGCCTTTTCATCTTAACACTGTGATATTGATGCCCAATGAGGAAATGCCCTGTGTTTATCCTCCAAATGAACTTGGTGTAGCAGCTCAACTGTGACTTAGGCCATTCCCGGCAGCACTCTGTGGGAGCGGTGACCTGGAAAGCTCTGGTAGAAGTTTCTTTCTGGTAAAAGCTACTGAAACTGCTACAGTGTACAGGAAATCACTGCTACATTTAAGTCCAAGTGAGAATGGAAATCTTAGTTGTGGAGAAAAGAGGGGGAACGGAATCAAATTAGGGCATGCTCCTGCAGAAATACAACACAGGATCCAAACAGCTCCAAAGAGCAAGGTGGAGGTGGGGTTGGGTTGGGTGTGTGGTGATGGGGAGGAGCACGCTTAATCATACTTAGGACTCACAAAGTTGGGTAGGGACCTATCTAGTTCACTGCTTTCAAAGGAGACTTTATAGTAACATATATAGTAGACAGCAGACTTCCCTAGTCAAGCTGGTCCTTTTATTATTTACCTCTGAAAGAAAACCGTGTGTCCATGTGTAGGTGCATAAAAGACGAAAACAAATGGGATTCAAAATACCAGAAACTATTGGGGAAAGACAACGTTTAAAGTCCTCATAGTCTTCATGGACTGATGTGGTCTGTGGGAGCCAGAGAACTGAAGTTAGTCAATTGTGCCCACCCTCATTTTCAAACAGTTCAAACACTGTTCAAATAAAAAAGCAAAAGTCATCTTTTGCTGGAATTCCTTTTTTTTTTTTTCTTTAACTTTGCTATTCAGGCCAAACTCCCAAACCTGGTCCAAAGATGGAAACAAAGGCAATGGTCTGCAGTGGCATTTCTCACTTACAGGTACCTAGCTACAAGTGTGCCAATTTAAAGTTTATTTTAGATCTCGGTAGAAACCAGAAAAGTTAATCCTTTTCAATTTAGGATTTGGTGGGTGTGGCAATCTAGGAAGACCTGGGAAATAACTACTGTTTGGTTTGGATGTTATGCGTGTCTACCATTAAAAGGGCATATAATTATAGCCTAAATGTAGACCTAAATCTTGAACAGACTAATCTAAACTTTCAAAACGTGTACCTTTTAATGTAACCATTGAAAACTATAGCGTGCCAGATGTTACAGCAGTAACCATAACACTGAGCTTAAACTGAAGTCTGGATCCTTTTTAAAAATCCCTTTTGTATCACCTTTCTCTCCAGCTGACATTACACATCTAAGGAGGGCTTCATTTGATCCACTTTGGAGAGGTTAAATGAATCACTTTTAGATAGTTCAGGCTTTTGTCTGAACGCTGGAGCGATCTCTCCTTTTTCTGTAAGATGAAAACCCTTCTTACCACTCCCCCGCGCCTCATGCCTTAATGTTTCACAAAATAAATCTAGAGATCCTGGGTTCTGAGAGATTGTCTATTCCAGACAAAGTGTCTAGAGGAAAAGAAGTAGCGGAGGCAGGTGAGATACTGGCCACATAGCAGCTCTATCCCGTAGAAAAAGGCTCGGGGTGAGGGTGGGGGGAGAAATCGCATATATATACTGCTTTTCTATCCTAGACACCTTTTCCAGAAAGACTCTCAGGCAGGAGAAAGGCGAAGGACGACGCATAGAAGAACCTGGCAGCGGCGGCGGCGGGGAAGGGGGGTGGGGGGGACCCGGGAACCCGGCCTGTCACCTGACTGCCAGGAAGAGGGACGTGCAGCTGGGAGCATCTGGGGGGTGGGGGGTAGCGGGGGAGGGACCTGGTAGAAGATGGCAAGATCCAGCGCTTCCTGGCACAGCGCTTGGCTCCTTCCCCAGACGTGCTCTCCCGCTTTCGGTTGGAGCCTGCCTTTCCAAGACGGGGGAGTAACCTCTGGCAGAGTACCGGGGTTGGTCCCTCCGCGCAGCCGGCGGGAGGGGGGAGGGTGTCCCAAAGCAGCGGCTTCAGCTGTGCACAAGGTAGCACGGGAAATCTCAAGTAGTGTTATTTGTGACACGAGGGCGGGACAAGAGGTCTGCTTTCCTAAGAGAAGGCTTCGCGTCCGTCTGCAGCAGGCGACAGTCCCGGGCGCCACCTGCGCTTCGGGCGCGGGCCGGGCCGGTGCGCGCGGGGAGCCCCAGCGCCCGCTACTAAGCGCGTGAAGTGACAGACCGTGAGTCCGCCGGCTTGCGTCCCCTTCCAGCACCAGGGACTCAGGCCCCAATCACTGCTTCCTCAAGGGTGGGCGAGCTCCCGCCGAGCCGCAGCCCCGCCCCCCACTACCTGGCGGCTGCGGGGTTGCAGCGCACAGCGCCCCGCGCGGCCCCCGCGGAGCCCCTGCCCTCCCACCTGCGCCGCGCGCGCCCGCCGCTCCGCGTTCCCGGGCCCGGCGGGG